AAAAAGAAAAACAGGGCTGGGGATTTAGCTCAGTGGTGCCGACATGTGCCTCGAAAGTACAAGGTCCCAAGTTCAATCTCCGGTACCAAAAAAAAAAAAAAGAAAGAAAGAAAAGACATACAAAGGCAAATACTTAGCATCATTAACATGTTCGTGTAGGACTGTAATTTGTATGTCTTACTGCTGAGTGGCTCTGATTTGAATTCAGTTGCTCCCCTCAACTTGAACCACGGATGGTACATGCATGACTGTCCCATTGGGCAACTTGTACTGCTTCTCAGGGAATCTTTGATTATAGTAATGCAAGAAAGGCATTGATTTAGCAGAGCAGATGTCATCGTATTATAGACCGATAAAAGTGATGAGATCCATTTTTACCACCAGTAGTACAAGCTGTCCAATGGGACAGTCACACACTTATCACCAGTGGTTCAAGCTGGCAGGGAACATGGTAGTCATTAGGGAAATGCAAATCAAAAATTCATGGGAAAATGGATACATATTGAGGATATACTCCTAAGTGAAATAAGTCACATGTGTAAATACTGAATAGTTTCTCTGGTGTGAACAAACTATAATAGTACATAAGATCCTAATGAAATAATTGATAGTGTGAAATAGTAAGAAAAGGGCTAAAGGTGTAGGGAAAGTGGGAAGGGTAGGGGAAAGGTAATAAGGGAAAGAAAAAAATAGAAGAAAATGAAAAAATGGAAATAAAATGTTTGTAAATGGAGAGGAGAAGAAGGGGTGAAGGGAGGGCAGGGACAAGGGGAAAAATGAGAACCAAGACCTGTCATGTAAAGGTACAAGATCCCAATGATGAATGTAACTGTACCGTATGTCTAAAATGTACCAACAAACTCAATGAGAGAAAGAAAAAAAAAAACACCAGCTAACACCTCATCCCTGTAAAAATATTTGATATCAAAAGGATGAAAGATAACAAGTGTTGGGGAGAATGTGGAAGAAAGGAAATCCTTGCACGCTGTTGATGGGAATGTAAATTAGTATAGCCACGATTGAAAATAGTATAGAGGGTCTTAAGGAAATTAAAACGTTAATATAAAATCCATCAGTTTCCCGAGTATATGTATATACAAAGGAAATGAAATCAGTATGTTGAAGAGATATCTGCACTCATGTGCTATAGTGCTGTTCACAATAGCCAAGAAGTAGAAACAACCTAATTATCCATCAGTGGATGTATGGGTAAAGAAAATGTACATGTACCCAGTGGAATGCTATTCAGCTATAGAATAGAATGAAATCCTGTCATTTGTGACACTATAATAGAGCTCAAATGAGCTGAGATCACTATATTAAAGTGAAAAAAGCCACACACAGACAAGTACCATATGATTTCACTCATATGTGAGAAAAGTTGACCTTGGAAGTTGAGAGTAGAATGATGGTTATCAGAGTCAAGGGGCATGGGGGTCAGAAAGAATAGGAAAAGTTGATCAATGGGTACTGAGTTACAGTTAGGAGCAATAAGTTCTGGTGTGCCATTGCACACTATGGTGATTAGATAACAGTGTACCATGCATTTCAAAAAACTGGAGAAAGGATTACAAGTATTTCAGAGAGATAGTTATGTTTAACTTGATTTAAACATTATAGAATGTACTCATGTGTTCAAACATTATATCATATCCCAATTAATACATAATGATTTTTATATGTTAGCTAAAAAGATTGGTGTTTGTGTTTTTATTCATACAAGGAATTGTCAATTGGCTTTATCTGGGTATGTAATTTATTTCTAGCAGTGCTTACTTACAATCTTTTATACCTGAAGCATTTTTAGCATCCCTAATGCTAAGATTGTAGATGCCCAATAATAATGTAATAATTTCCTTAGAAATAATTTAATGGTTAATCAATTTGAGAAATTTGTAATAAAGTTAAGGTTACTCTATTTAAGTCTCTGACTACCTCTTCAAGAGAATAAAACCAGTTGGAGACCCTCCTCTTTCTTTTTGGTTATATGAGAGGGTATCATTCTGTAGGTCAGGCTGCTCGCGAATTCACTGTGTAGCTCAAGCTGGCCTCAAACTCTTGATCTTTCTGTCTCAGTCTCCCAAGTGCTGGGATTATAGGAATGCACCACCATTCTTGCCTGAGACACCTCCCTTAAAAAAATTGAGGTGAAATTTTTTAGGCAGAGTGATATACATCTATAATCCCAGCACCCTGGGAGGCTGAGGCAAGTTGTCCTGCCTGAGCAACTAAGAGATTTAGCATTTCAAAATAAAAAATTTTGAAAAGGATTGGGAATGTAGCTCAGTGAAAAGGCCCTGGATTCAATCCCCAGCACTGAAAAAAAAAATTGAGGTAAAAGTAAATTAACATAAAAGCTATCATTTTAACCATAAATATATAATTTTAGTAGTATTTAGTAAATACGCAGTAGTATATAATCATTACACTTTCTAATTCTAGGACATTTTAATTTTTCCCAAAGGAAACCCCATGCAGCCATTGTGTATTTCCTACTCCCTAACCATCACTAATTTACTATATCAGTAGATTTGCCCAGTCTGGACATATCACATAAATGGAATCTTAGCTACCCTGCTTCCTTTTACCTGTCTGCCTTCTTGTCTCCTTCCGTCCCTCCCTCTCTTTGTCTTTCTTATACTATAGATTGAACCCAGGACCTTCACACTAAGCTACACCTCCAGCCCTTTTTGTTATTTTGGAGGCAAATTCTTGCTAGGTTGCTTAATTGCCCACGCTGGCTTGAATTTGTAATGCTCCTACCTCAGCCTCCTAGAGTGCTGGCATTACAGGCATATACTACCATGCTTGGCTTTGCTTCTTTCACTTTAGAAATGATGCTAAGAATCTTTTCATGTGGTTTTTTGGTCATTAGTGTATCTTCTTTGGAAAAATATTTATTCATGTCCTTTGTCCATTTTTTATTTGGGTTATTTGTCTTTATACTATTGAGTTGAGTCTTTTATATATTCTGGCTACAAATCCTTATTCATTAGATAATTTGCAAGTATCTTTTTTGTTTAATTTTTTTCCCTTTTTTGATGTTCTGTGGTTTCATGCAAAAATTACATGAAATCTAATTTTTTGTTTCTTTTATTGCTTTTTTTCCCCCAAGTGTTAGGATCCAACCCAAGCCCCGCACATGCTAGGCAAGCACTCTTTTCACTGAGCCATATTCCCAGTCTAGAACTCCGGACTTGTAGTTAAGTTTTGAAATTGGAATGTCTGAGTTTTCCATTTTTTTTTTCTTTTCAAGATTTTTCTATCTGTTCTGGGACCCCTACATTTCCACTTGAAATTTAGGATCAGGTTATTTCTACAGAAAAACCAGCTGGGCTTTTTTTTTTTTCTTTTATTGAGTTTATTGGTACATTTTAGGTATACAGTACAGTTACATTCATTATTGGGATCTTGTACCTTTACATGACAGGTCTTGCTTCTCATTTTTTTCCCCTTGTCTGTGCCCTCCCTTCAGCCCCTTCTGCCCTCCCCATTTACAAACACTTTATTTCCATTTTTTCATTTTGTCATATTTTAACTGGGCTTTTATTAGGGATTATATTGTACTTATATAAAGTACAGATTATTGTCATAGTAATATTGAATCATTTCATGAACATAGATGGACTTTGCATTTATTTACATCATCTTTATTTTTTTCAGCAAGGTGTGTGTATGTGTATATACATACATAGTTAACTGTTTTGGTATGGAGATCCAGTCTAGTAACCCATAAAACTATAGTTGGAGTACAATAATTCAGATGAAGTAAAAATTTTCTGCTTCTTTTATTGCTTGTGTTTTGTTTTGGTGATGCTAGAATTGAACTCAGGGCCTGATGCATGCTAGGCATGAGCTCTGTTACTGAACAATATCTCCAGCCCCTCTTTCAACAAGAATTACTTAATTAAATTTGTACTACTAAAGTTTGAAATCAGGGCCTTTATACTGCATTACATCCCCATTTTTCATTTTTATTTTGAGACAGGGTTACATTAAGTTACTAAGTTGCCCAGGCTGGGCTCAAATTTGCAGTCCTCCTGCTTTAGCCTCTCAGAATTCTGAGTATACAGGTGTGTACCACCATACTTGACTTTCAGTGGTATTTTAAAATTTTCAGTTCTAAGTCTTACATTTCCTTTATTAAATTTGTTAGAAATTGAATTTGAGAACAAAATTAGATATTGTTTATTACTAGTATAGCAATGTAATTGATTTTAACTTTGTTTCTTGCAACCTTGACAGACTTGTTTACTATATGGTTTTTAGTGGATTCTTTAGTTTTTTAAAAATTTGTCTTAACACATGATAATGTCATCTGCAAATGGTGATAATTTTCCTTTTCCTTTCTTACTTGAAAGTTTTAAAAAAATCTTTTCTTCCCTAATTAACTACCTAGAACTTCCAGTTTAGTCTTCAGTGATGAAAACCAATATTCTTTTTCTTTTTTTGTTTTATTTGAAACTGGATCTTGCTGTGTTGTTCAGCCTTGCCTCCATCTCACTATTCTGTTTCAGCCTCCCAAGTATCTGGGATTATAGGAATAGGTCACAGTGTCCAGTGAAAAGCAGACATTCTCATCTTGCTTTTTATCTGAAGGAGAAGGAAGGCCTTCAGTCATTTACCTTTGGATATGATATTAGCTTACTAGCTATGAGTTTTTGGTAAGAGTCCCTTTGTTAGATTGAGGCATTAATATAAATAAAAAATCTTTTAGGCAAATTATTAATGTTTAATCTAGAAACCATTTATCTGTGTTAATGTAAAACTAGCAATCTATGTTAATGTATAAAGAACTATGATAAAATTATTGTATTACTGCTATTGAAATTTCACCCTGGAGATGAGGTTATTATATTTTTTCCTCTATAGAAAAACAATTTTTAATGAAACCCAATTTTGTTTTCATTAGATGAGTGTCTTTTTATTTTACATGAACAAATTGAATAGCTTTTAGAAAACTTTATTCTTTGAGTGAATTATTTCACTTTGTATTCCAGTTAGAAGGATGCCACGGAGAAAGAAAAAAGTTAAAGAAGCTTCTGAATCTCAGAACCTGGAGAAGAAGGATATGGAAACCACAAGTTCTGTCAGTGTGAAGAGGAAGCGTAGAGTTGAAGATACATTCATTGTGATATCTGATAGCGATGGAGAGGTCAGTATTTTAAAAAGTGAAGCTGTAAATCTCAACCTAGGCTTCTTTATCTGTGAATGGCTTGTTTTGTGACTATATGGTCCTGTTAGCTTCTCAAGACTTTTTTTTTGTTTGTTTTTTTTTTTTGGTACCAGGGATTGAACTCAGAACCTTGCACTTACAAGGCAGGAGGCGGCACCACTGAGTTAAATCCCTGGCCCAAGACCATGTAATTTTTACTTAGTTTTGTTTTGACATGAAGTGGAGTTATAAATTATTTAAATAATGCTGTTTGGCTGAGGATAGGTTTGATTGTAGTTCGTTAGTTTTGTTATAGGTTAACCCAGTGTGATATTTTAGGACTGTTGAATAAACTAAATTGAATAAAAAATATTTTCATGTGTCTGGAAAGTGAAAGAATGAGAGTACAAGCCAGGGATCAGGTACATGCCTGTAATCTCAACACTGAGAGGCTGAAACAGGAGGATCTCAAGTTCAAGCTCAGCATGGGCAACTTAGTGACTTACTGAGACCTTGTCTTAAAAAAAAAAAAAAATTTGGTGATGTAGCTCAATCAAAATGGCCTGGGTTGTTTTCAATACTGAGAAAAAAAAATGTGTAACTGGAGCTGTAAATGTATCTCAGTGATAGAGTACTTGCCTAGCATGCAGGAGGCCTTGGATTCAATTCCTAGCACTGCAAAAACATTAAAAAAAGAAAAGAAAAGTTGTGAATACTCTTACATCTCTAGACTTGATCTGTCTAATATAGTAGTCTCGAGCTACCTGTAGCTATTTAAATAAAAATTAAAAATCAGTTCCTCTGTTGCACTCATTATGGTCAAGTGAGCAAAGGCACCATAGATGCTGATATCTATTGTATTAGACAATGTGTAGAAATTTCCATTGCCATTGAAAGCTTTATTGTACAGAGCTCTGCTGGATCCTAACCTTTCTCCTTTATTCCCTATTTCTATTTGTTTGTTGAGATCTTCCACTTGATTGTAGATCACATTCAGTAGGTAATGAACTAAGGCATCATGTTTTCCTACATAAATTTTTCCTGTATCTACTTTAGTAGTAGAACAACTCATTTGTCTCAAGCTGTAAAACTCAGAATCACCACTGACTCTTCACTCTTCTCATCTTTCACACCTAATGGGTTACTGTTGCATGTATGGCTTGTATCTAGTTGTTCCCCTAAATCCTCATGTCCTTGTAGATGGGGCTTTAGGATCATGGGTTGTCGCGCGCCGCTCGCCAGCAAGAAAGCACGCAACAGTTAGGATCCTTCTGAGGCTTTATTAATTGTGTGGAGAAGGCACTCAAACAAAGGAATACACTTCCTTATATAGACTAGAGTTCTTCCACATTAGGCAACGCCCCATGGCAACAATTACTCCTCCAATGAGGATTTTTCCTAGTGTAACAGACTATAGCCAGTGTGGAGAAATCACCATCTCGCGATCCTCCATTACATGTCTTACATCTCATATTCATATATAAATCATTATAATTATAGCAAAGCAGGCAAACTCCTTTATCTAGCAAGATAAAATAACTATATCAGCCTAAAGCACTAATTGGGCACTAACTCAGCAAACTAGGCAGACATGCTCTCCACAATGGGTATGTTATACTGCATCATAGGTGTGTGATACCACATTAGTCAGTCCATTGATGGGTTTATAGCTGGGTATGATGTTAAGAAAGGAAGCCTGGTGGAAAGAGGTGGGTTACTGAAGGTATCCTGCTCCCTTAATCCCTCTGTGCTTCTTGCCTGTCTTGCCATGAGCTCTTTCTCTTCTCTCATGCTGCCCTGCCTTGGAACCAACTGACTACAGACTAAAACCTCTATAAACTGTGAGCCAAAATAAACCTTTTTTCTTTTAAATTTGAATAGTTTGTCCCAGCGTCGAAAAAGTAATTAAGACACTGAATGCTGTATTTTTTATTGGTTAAATGATACTCTAGTATTTCCTTTTTTGTGTGTGTGATCAGCTTTTATTTGGTTTATTACAACAAAATCTGAAGCTGGCTTTTCTGCCTTAGGTTTATATTCCTTACATATTTCATTTAACTTACTACAATTTTAAGAATTCAGGTTGTAGATCTTTGCACTTGTTTGCTTAACAATTTTTGGTTGCAGCTGATAAAATTCTGGGAGGCTTTCCTACCTGAAGCCAAAGCCATTGCCTAGCAATAAGATTGTTCCATTTAAGAATTATATGTTGCTCCAGTTATCCTGAACTCCATAATGAACTAATTTAAAACCATCTAAGTAAACTGTTATATATTTTTTAAAAAATTTTTTGGGAGCCAGGGATTTAGCTCAGTGGTTTTGCTACCTGCTTCACAAGCACAAGGTCCTGAGTTTGATCCCCGGTACCAAAAAAACCCAAAAAAACAAAAAACAAAAACAACCCAAAAAAGCACAAACAAATCCAAAAAATGAATAATCTATACAAAATCAATTTAGAATTTTAACATGTCATACTGTATAAGAACCTTTACAATTCCAGCTTCATTTCTGTAATTCTTTCTTTCTTTCTTTTTTTTTTTGTAATAGGAATTGAACTCAGGACCTTAAGCTTGTGAAGCAAGTGGTGGAACCACTGAGCTAAATACCCAGCCATCAACTCTAATTTTCTTGTCCCCTTGCCAAGACTATTACTACTTTAAAAATTTTTCCCAATTTGATAATTTTAAAAAATCACATATTATTATATTAGTTATTTTCCCATTGCTAGGTAAAAATAGCTAATACCTACCTACAAGTTAAAAGAGGAAAGGTTTATTTTGGCTTATGGTTTTTTTTTTGTACCAGGGATCAAACTCGGGTCTTTATGCTTGCAAGGCAGGCAGCAGAACCACTGAGCTAAATCTCTGGCGCTTGGCTCATGGTTTTTGTGGGTTGGCTGGTTCCAGAGCAGAAGTAGCATGGTGAAAGAATGGAAAGTTGCTCAACTCCTGGTGGCCAGAAAGCAGAGAGAGAAGGAAGGAACTGGGTACAGAAACACACTCTTCCCTGTCCTGTCATCTGTGACCTATCCTGAATAAGCAGGGTGCCCTGGGGTTGTGTTTTCAAAGCAAAGTATTTTATTTTATTTTATTTTTTTGGTACCAGGGATTGAACTCGGGTCCTTGCACTTGCAAGGCAGGCCACCGAACCGCTGAGCTAAATCTCCAGCCCAAAGCAAAGTATTTTAAAGTTTATACTTTTTTTCTTTTTAAATGTGGGTACTGGGGAATGAACTCAAGACCTTGTACTTGGGAGGCAGTTGTGGTACCACTTAGCTAAATCCCCAGCCCCATTTTTTTGGTATTTTGAAACAGGGTTTTGCTATATAATTCAGGCTGTCCTTGAACTTACTGTGTAGTCTAGGCTGGCCTTGAACTCATGGTGATCCTCCTGCCTCAGCCTCCTAGAGCTAGGATTACAGGTATGCGCCACTGTACCTGGCTCTCAAGTTTTTACTTTTATACCCTTGCGTCTGTGATGTGTGTGGGTTTTGGCCTATCTTGAGATTCTCTCAAGTCATCTTTTTTTATTGTCCTTGGCTGGCCTCAAACTTGCTTGGATCCTCCTACCTCAGCTTCTTGAGTGCTAGGATTACAGGCATGCTCCACCATGCCTGGATTGGCTTCTTTTTAATGGTGTTAATCATTCTCTCCTTGGCCTCAAATTACCCATGATTTTTTTCTGGTCAAATGGAAAAAAAATTTTTTTTAACATCCCTTGGCTCTGTTTTTGCTTTCAACTCTCCCTGTAGTTGTGGCTAAAAGTATCTGGCAGTATCCATGGCACAACCTGAATGTTTGATTGCCTTGATGTTTCTTCCACCAGTGTTAAACTCCCATAGTGACTGGGCAAGGGACAACTGTGGGAGATGTCCAGGGTCAAGGAGCTGTGTGATCAGGCAGGCAAGAGACACCCAGAGCGTTATGAGCTAAATGACTTAGGCTCCAACTCAATGATCAGAGGCCAGGATCAGCCTGAACTTTTGTGGATTTGAAAGTACCAGAACTGGCACTCAGTCCTAATTCTATTACACTCTTGCTGGTGGTTGTCTGGCATAGATCTGAGGTCTGACTATCTTCTTTATCTGCCAGTGAGAGTAGAGCCATGCCCTCATTTGGCTACTGCCCCAAAACTGTAGCTTCCAGTAGATAAACATAGGCTTGAAATAACAGAAATTCCTTTTTTTTTTTCTTTCTCTTTGCTTTTGGGTTTTTCTTTTTCTTTGTGTTTGGTTTTCATTTTTTTTCTTTTTTTCATGAGTGTGAACATTTTTAAAAGTTTTTTTTGTCTTGTTTTGATCTTACTTTTTTGTTCTTTCCTATTTTGTTACCCTCCTGTATTGTTCACCAGTTTCCCAAGGCTTGCGTAGCCCTCCTTTGTCCTTCAGCCTTGCTTTTAATCTCTTTCTTTTCTTTTTTCTGTTTCCCCCTCTTAATCCCTTTTAAATATTCTCCTCTTATGGTAAAATTATTCATTGAGTGGATATTTACTGTATATGATTTTTTGATTTGTCTTAGATTTTGTTATACAAATATAAATCTAGTTAGTACCTATAGGTAAACATGGCAAATTAATAGTTACCACAGTTTTTTATTTTTCATTTTGTGCTTGATGCTGTTATTATTGCTAATTGTACTACTTTACTCAAGGTGACATAATTGTTGTAATCAATTGATCTTCCTTATATGCCAATACTTAGATTGTCTGGGCATCATAAACAATACTGCAGTCCAGTACCAAAGAAATGGGTGCTAGGCCAAATAGGCTGCAACCTTTCATCCCTAATAAATTGAGGATTTAATCAATATATTTTTACAAGAATACATTTTATAATGTTGGAACATGTTTTCATTTCTAGAAGAAATGGTACTTGATTATGATGTATTAATATGATATTCAATTTACTTTCTGAATACAACACTTAGGAGTTTCTCATGTACATTCTTAGTGTTATTTATTTATGCTTTTCTTTGGTTTACCTCCATCAGTTTTAGTATGAG